GGGGAGGTCCTTCCTGCTTCTTCTAGCTCCTGGTGCCCCAGGTATCCCTAGGCTTGGGGCCACTTAACCCCAACCTCTGCCTCTGTTGTCACATGGCCATCTCCCTGTGTCTCCGTGTTTTTTCTCCAGGACTAGGAAGGTAGCAGCTGATACGGAGAGAAAGATCTGCCTCCCTGACGTTTACCAGCTTGCTGCTTCATGTGGGTAACCATGGAAACGAATGAATCAAAGGCAGCCTTTATCTGTCTATTAATTTTACTTGAATCACCAGAGGATGGTGGGACCATCTATCCAACTGGAGAATAATGGAGAAGGTGGGAGTGTGTGTGTAGGGGGAGGGTTGTCAGGTGCAAAATGCAGTCCAACCACCACGAGTGGGTGGAAATCTCAAGCCGGAGTGTGGGAGCCTCTGGGAAGACATCTGCCATCAATGGTGTGTGCACCTCACTGAAGCCTGACCTAGATGAGATGGTGAGCAAAGAGGAAACCTCTGGTTGAACCATGGAACCTGTAGTGGAGGGCAACGTGGCCACTGCTGCTCCTGGCCTGGAGAGTGGAGGCTGTTGGTCCACACATGGGGTCCAGCAGGCCTTGTGATTTGCTCTGGTCATCAGATTGGGGCATGAGTGACAGTGTCCAGGCCTCAGGGGTCCTGAGCACTCTTGTTTTCTTGGGACTGTGTAAGGTAGCTTGAATTAGTCACAAAGACAGACTGAGAAGAACCAAAGTGCCCAGATGTGAAAGAGGCTGCCAGACCAGCGCCTTCCCAGGGGCCTCCCCCCAGCACTGACCCATGACTTGTCCACTAGCTGGCTCCCCAACAGGCCCCGAATGTCTATGAGCCAGCCTTTGGCATGTCCACTCACCACCAGCTTTCTTGGGGAGCCCAACCCAAACTGCTGATCCACAGACCCACTAGAACTTTGGGGCTGCTGCCATCCTGCAGGAGAGAACTGAATGTGACCCCCGAAGGGCTGCGTGTGGCTAGCAGTGAGCTGAGGACAGGGCAGAGGGAGACAGAGGTGGCCTGGAGGCTCAAGGGCAGTGCTCAGAGAGGGGGCTGCCAGGTCCAAAGTTGAGAGAGGAGGGAAGCCCCAGGACCTGATGCTCCCAGAGAGCTGTGTAGGAGGCAGTAGGACCCAGCTAACCAGGAGAGAGGGAGGGGAGTGGGCAGAGAAAAGGACGTGGTTTTAGAGCTTTTACTTGGCATGCACTGGAGAAAAGGAAAGCCTTCGTGAGACTCTGTGAGCAATGCATGGAAACAGGACCTTGGTACGGGTCGAGGGAGCATTAGGCAGATTCTGATGACCAGGATTGGGGCACCCATGTAACAGGGTGACATATGGGGAGAACAGCTCAGCTCAGCTCAGCCCAGATCTGATAGCACTGGGAGCCGTGTGACCCGGTCCTCCAAAAGATGGGTCACCTAATGTTCGAATCCAGAGTCTGAGGGAGCACAGAAACTCAAGCAGGGTTTGTGTGTGTGTGTGGGCGGGAGGGGGGGGCGGTCCATTTGCTTTTTCACTTAGATGATTCTCGAACACGTTGGTGAGTGTATGGAAACTGATGCAGCAGATTGGAGTGACCAGATGTGCAGCAGGGCCTGAGAACAGGCTACCTGCCCAGGAGAGGGATGAGGTGGGCTGTGGGACTAAGCTGAGAGTTCCGGAAACTGGCAACACTACCTGCAGTGGGCATGGAGGCTTCTGAGGCTGCCCAGAGGGCATTCTTCCTCTGGGACCTCCCACCTCCTTCCCCATCTTTCTTAATAAAGTACCCACTGAGGCAGGCAGAGGGAGAGGCTGTGGCCACCCAAAGGGACTCCAGACCCCTTTTCGCACATGGTCTCCAAGGGATGTTACTGTGGAGCCAGGCCAGCCCCTGTCCACCCCATCCTCCACCTACTGGATAAAAGTGTGGAGACACCCAGTCTCCTCCTCCTCTTCTTTTTGGTGCATATCCATGTATTAGGGTCACATTTCGTTTTAAATAAAGTTGAAATTCACATAAACATAAAACCATCCTAAGGTGAATAATTCAGTGACATTTAGTGCATTCACCATCATCTCTTTCTAGCTTTGAAATATTTTCATCTCGCCAATAGGAAACTGTCACTCCGCATTCCTCCCTCTACCCCAGGCCACTAATCTGCTTTCTGTCTCTATGGATCTGCCTGTTCTGGATGTTTCATATAAATGGGATCATACAATACATGACTGTTTGTGTTTGGCTTCTTCAGTCGGCACAAAATTTTCCAGGTGTGGATGTCAGTACTTCATTCCTTTTATGGCTGAAAAGTATTCCACTGTATAGATAGACCACATTTTTGTTTATCTATTCGTCTGTTATGGACATTTGGACTGTGTCCCACCTTTGGGATGTTATGAATAATGCTGTTGTGAACGTGATGTGGGTGCATGGGTATTTGAGTCCTCGCATATACCACGGGGTGGAACTGATGGGCCATGAGGACTTCCTTCTTTAAGCATGAGTTTGACGAGCTTTCTCTTGCAGAGCAGGCAGCTCTGAATATTTTCTCATGTTTTTGAACTTGATAAGCCCGACAGATGATCAAACTTTAAACTAGAGCTGCCCAATAGAACTTTCTGTAATAATGGAGATGTTCTATATCTGTTCTGTCCAACGTGGTGGCCATTGGCCACGAGTGTCTTGAGTGACTGAGAAACTGCATCTTTGTATTTAACTTCAATTAATTGCAAGTTAAATAGGTCCTGCAGCGTATAAGCTCATTAGAGATGACAAATGAAGGACTGCCCCTTGCAGCACCTCCCACCTCGCCTCAGCTTGTAACACCCCCGTTGAAGAATTAAGTCTGGAGCTCCGTGGTGATCCTTGGAACACCCAAGCCTCCTGCTCCTGAAAAACCTTTTTTCTTGAATACCACTTAAGGGGTTGAAGATAC